AATTGAGACTTACCCAAATATGGAACATAGGAATATTTGGAAAAAGATTGATAATGTCATTTTAGGTCTTGTTGTCCTGTCCATATAAAAATGTGTTACGTGAGAAATAGAAATGTGTATGTATTTATTTATGTATGCAGGTGTCGTGTACAAGATGAATACGATTATCATAGACAGAGTGAGAAAAAAGGCAATGATGTTTCCTGTCGTGGCTCGTACGAAACAACACATAAAATAACACGTACGGCATGTTTGTTATGCAATATTAGACAATAAATAAAATTTAATTTTTTTCCTTTCTCAGTATCAATGAGTGTTGGATTTTAACTCTCAACTCTCATTGATTAGTACCTGACATTGAATTTTAAAAAATGTTAAATTTCTTCCTTTTTGAAGGACTAAAAATTTATATGAAAAATATTGTTGTCTAGTGTGTGTGTGTGTGTAAAAGATAAGCATTTTTATCTAGAAATTTTAAAAATTAAAACAAATTTTGCTCAATCTATCATATTTTTGGAACCCAAATAAGTTTTTGGTGTAAAAATCAAGTATAGATTAAAAATGAAAAAGAAAAAAACAATGAAATAAAGATGTTTGGGCACTTGGTTTACTCATAAGCAGGAGTTTTAAGCAGAAGAAAGAATATGAGAATTTTAATTTCTTTTCTTTTCGCTCTCCTGCTTGTAGGCAAAATAAGCACCTAGCGGTAGATCACGGCAAGGCAAACCTCCATGTGTAATGTGTGAGAGCACATGATTAAAGAAGCCAACAAATTCATGGTTTACGTATATTCGAGCACACTTACCTCTCCAAGAAATAAGCGAAAGGGGCGAGGCATATAGAGGGAAATATTTGTCGATAAGCAACATGGACAAAAGGGTTCATGCCTGAATCCATGGCTAGCTTTGATATGATATTCATCCCGGCATACCCCAATTGCACACTAACCATAGCCAAGAACGGCAAGAATTTTCCTCCAACCATTTTCATCGAATCTCTCCAACTCAACTCCGAGAAGAACTTAAGAAGAAAATAAAATCGAGAGATGTGAGAAGAATATAGTGCAAGATCACGTATTTATAGTCGATGATGACATATAGGAAAAGAAAGCTATTCTACAAGTAACCCTCTCCTCATGGAAAATCAGGGGGGACAAACTATCAAGAAAACAGCCAAAATTTCTTTAAGTGAATGAATTTAATGCATGCCATTCTTCGTAAAGGCCTACTTTCTGTTGAACATTTGGTGTTTTACATCAAAAAACTTGAAGCGGTTCCATATATAGGATGGACAAAAGACTTGGGATGTGTTCTACTTTTGTGGGCCCTCATAGAGGTTACAACTTACATAAAGTGATCTAAAGTGCACTAGATGCCAAGATTTTCTGAGGAGGAGAATTTGAGGTTTTCTTAGTCTTTTTTTGATATTTAATTTGAGGGATGAATTTCAAATTTAGAATAAAATATTAATTCCTATTGTTGTTTTATGTTTAATATGTGACATAGCACGTAATGTAGACATATGTGCTAAAAGGTTTGTTTAGCATGTTAGAGAGTTCTGCATACGTACAAATATGGAGTAAAAAAATTAGTGTACTTGAGATTGGACAATATAAGGGTAATTGGCACAAAACGTACCTACCTATTAAGTTTATTTGAAAAACATCACCATCTTTTATTTTTTGACATTTTCGCCCCTACATTCTATCTTTCTTTGCGCAAAACGTCTTTTTTACCATTTTTTAATGTAAAATGACCGATATACCATTATATTTATACAAAACAAAAGAAAAAGGAAAAGAAAAATAAAGCACAAATTGCAAACATGCTCCCAAACTTTATAAAAAGTGCAAATGAGTCCCAAACTTTTTATTAAACTTGCAAATGAGTCCAATCGTTTAACATACATTCACCATTTGAAAATTGTTTGGCTAAATCCTTAGTAATCAAATTGCCATCTTGAACATTATTGGCATTCAAATTAAAGGGAAAAAAAAAGTGATATTGGGAATGGAACATTGAGGGCAGTGATAGCGACCCGCGAAGGATGAAGAGGTCAGAAGGGAGTAAATGCAAGAGATGTGGGCTACGACAGGGTAGCAGAGGCACATGGCGCAGAGGTGCGGTGGAGGGAGCTTGGTAGGGATGTAAGCAAAAACCGTCAAACTGAAACATCGAACCGAAATCGCATTTTAGAAACAGCCGGTTTGGTGTCACGTGGATCTGATCAACGAAATGGTTTTGAACCAAGCCAAACCGGTCAAAATGGTTTGGTTTAGATTTGAGAATTTTAATTGCAGTTTAAAACCAGTCGGACTGACGAAAAATATATAAAAATAAAAAAAAGAAAATTTTTGAAAATTCATCCTAATATGTAAATTTCAATAATTTTGTCATTTGTTGATATTTTTGTCAATTTCTAATTTTCTAATACAGGTATATTATTATTATCCAATAATCCTAATTTATATCTAATAATCTCAAAACTAACATAATCTATCAAAAATCATTTTCCTCTTCAGAATTTAAATGAACTCTAGCCGACACCTAACACAATCTTGAGTCATCGACACCACGCACTTCTTTTTCAGATTTTTCACACCTCTTCAAAGTTTAATTGAAATTCATTATACCAAATCGGAGACAAAGAGATCCTAAACTTTCGGTGATAATATTTGCTACGAATAAAGTTTTAGATCAATAATTTTTTTGGAGCAAACTAAGGTAAAAATCTAAAATTAAATGCGTTTCGTAGTATGATACAAACGTAAACTTGTGTAATTGTTATGTTTAGATATTATAAACAATTGTTTTATTATTGTGATTGGTTATTCTCTTTGTCTAATTAGTATCTTTTTTTTTAGATATGATGATCACGAGGTCTTGTTAGACATTATTATATTTTTTGGGCCTTATATCTAGTTTAGTAAACTTGTATTGTAACGTTATTGTATCGTCATTAGTCTAAAAAAGGTGAACAAAATTTTTTTAAAAAAACTATATTTTAGTTTATTGTGATTTCACTTTGATTTAGTTGATATTTAAATTTATAGTAGATATATTTAACCCCTATTTGAGCTATATTTTTCATATCATCATAATGAGAAAATTGACCGTTGGAAAGGAGGTTGGGTCCCACACATGACACAACAGGTCAACAAAGGCAGTTAGACTTGTGAGATAACGGTCCAAATTTTCATTTTTTTTGTCCCAAAAATTTGGTTCAAACATGGACTAAGTTTGTTTTAGATTTATTGCTAATAAGATATAAATATATATTGAATTCAATGAATTAATAACATAACAATAGACAGGCAAAAAAATATATGACGAAACCGATGGTTTAAAATCGGAACAAACCGTTAGGTTTAGGTTTGAGTTTTTATCAAAATGGTTTGATTTAGTTTTGATTTTTTCTCAAATCGGTTCAAACGGTTTGATTCGAAAATCTGTCAAAAATCGGTAAAAACGGACCGTTTAAGCTTGGTATCCTTGTAGACATCCAGACGCAGGTGGGGCAAAACGACGCTGCGTGGTGGGCTAGAAGCCTAGAACACACGCCATGCATGCTGGTTGTAGATGCCCCGGTACCAAAGGTTGTGCTGGGTTATCGGATTCTCCGACCTGCAGTCACCGCATTCCGTTTGCTTGGTAATCCCCATCACTTTTGCAGTCTTTACATTTGGGATTTGCAGATTTTGGTATATATAAACTTAAAAGGGCAAAAACCTAGAATCTAGAGAGAATGCGACACGGAGCGACAGGGGTAGGGAAGATGGTGGCGGCAACAGTAGGGTGGTGGGGCGGTGAGGCGCATAGAGTGATGGAAAGTGGAGTTGGTAGTTGAGGGCACAATTAGGTGGTCGGGGGAGGTGGGTTGCTTTTGCTTTTGTTCAAGGGTCCTGTTAAGTTCTTAGATTTCTTGGTCTTTGGTGTATTGGCTATAGTTACAGGCGGTGGCTAAAAATTGGCTTCTCTTGTTGGAGAGGAGGATGTATCCATGGAATTAAAAGTCACTTATGAAAATAATAATCAAATGAAAAAAATTAATTATTTTGAAATTTGCTTATTTACATATATTTCTATCTCCACTTCTAAAAATCTCAATGTTCATACATAAATGCTAAGAAAAATAATGGCTGCTCTCTCTCACTTCCCTCTCATTCCTCCCCAAGATTCTGTCTTTTTTCGAGCAATTTTCAAAAGGTGAATGTGTGTTAAATGATTGGACTCATTTGCAATTTTAATAAAAAGTTTGGGACACATTTGCACTTTTTAAAAAGTTTGGCAGTATGTTTGCAATTTGTGCTTTATTTTTCTTTTCTTTTTTCTTTTTTTTAAATATAAGGGTATATTAGTCATTTTACACTAAAAATGGTGAAAATGACATTTTGTGCAAAGAAATGTGGAAGGTAGGTGCGAAAATGTCAAAAAATGAAGGTGTGGACTTTTTCACAATAAACTTGATAGGTAGAAACGTTTTATATCAATTACCCGATAATATAAATAGGCGAAAGGGGACCCGTTACAAAATGGTAAGAGTTAAAAGATATTTATTACTCAAGGTTGGACAATATAAATAGGCAAAAAAGGGGGGAACACTTTATAAATGTGGTATAAAAGAATATTTGTTAATTGAGGTTGGATAATAAGATATTACTTTCAATCATTCTTTGATCACCTATTAATTACTAAATGCTTGTGTCGAATATGCCATAACAAACTTTGATCGATGTTGCGATAGCACATCATCCCTTTCATTCTTAGGGAATTCGAAAATATTACGTTATAGTTTCTTTTTTGTTTGATTCGTTTTGTCCTCTAGCTTTAAAGGCCACTGCTAGGCCATGAGGGCGCGTACTCTCACTAAAAAAAAAATCGGTTACAAAAATCCTCAAAAACGGCATATCGAAATCATCATTGAACCTTTCGACGTCTTTGTTTAGTACATGAATGTGTTAGACGATTGTTGGTTATAAATCACGATGTTGTCTCTAATTCTTAGGGTGTCTATAAACAAAGGTAAATGAATAGTGAAAATTTTGAATAGTACTTGTTGATTCTACAGAATGTATGAATAAAAAAATTGATTTAATAAAATATATTTTTTGACGAAGGTATCTCCTTCCATCATAATTAGTATGCCTACCTTCTCGCCCCCTGGGTCATATTCCAGTGGTGTAAAGGGCAATGATGAGGTATATTCAACTTTACTGACAGTCGTAGTGTGAGGGTTCGATTCCTGAAATATGGATTGGGACTTTTTGTGGGTACCAGTATATAGGCAGCTCTTGTTTCCTGACTTATTAGGATACATTCCGTGATTAACCTCTCTCATAATGCTCCAAGGGTGGGGCGATGGGGGACCCTTAAGGTTAGGGTTCAACCTTTTATTAGTATGCCTAACTTCTCTTACTCATTGAATCTTGTCACCCTTATGAATTAAAATAAATTTGAAACACTTGTACAGCCATGGGTCCTTGACCTTCACTCTACAAGGTTAACAACCAGAAACATATATTTTGAGTCAAGGACGTACCAAATTTTTGTCGAGTATCTTTCATTTACTGATTTTCCGGGGGGGTGGGATCAAAAAATAAGCTATTAAATGGGCCCAATATTTTGTGGGCTCACACATACGGGCGTCCAAACGAATACTTTGATGAGTAAACTTGGGCCTAGACAACTTGACAAACTTTTGGGCAGGTCCAAAAGGGGGGTTGTGAATAGTGGGCTTGGAGCAAGACCGACATCTGTTGTTTCATTTTTGGAACATACAAAAATACTCTTAAAATCAACGGCATTTTGAAAAATTATATGAAAATTGTTTTGAAAGTAAAAAATACTTTGTAAAGTTAAGTATCACTTTTTAAAATTTTAAAAATGACAAAAGTTCAAAAAAATAGCAAACACTAAAAAAATGAGAAACATCGATAAAATTTTAGAATAGATCCAGATGTGGTTAGTTTTTCTACATGTTGTTTCTTTGTGATTATGTTTCACTTATTTTAAGAACTGCAATACTCTGTAAGTTGGACGTTGCGAAAATTTAAAATAGTGAAACAAAGAAGTGATAGACAATTAAAAAAGTGATAAATTTTAAAA